CTAAAGGTTGCCCTACTTCTCAGAGGGACCTTTGTGGGGCCAAAAACTCTCAGCACATCAATCATCAGGGGCCACTCAACATCCTGTCTTAGCAACTGGAAAGCAGCATGGCGAGGTCTTGGACTTAGGGTGTGTGAACTTGGAGCCCCCAGACTTCATCCTTATGTTGCCTCACCTTTCCAGGGTCTACTGCCTTCTGTGAATCACGAAATTTGGAAGTTTGCCTTCTTCCAACAACTCTGTTCAAGGAGGTTTCTTGATCTATTTATTAGTCGTTCTTTTGGAAGCAAAAATTCCAATTGTCTGCCATGATTTATTTTCAAAGGACTTTGACTTACTCCTGTGGATTTCGGCTTCTCTTTCTTAAAGCTCATTTCTCCTGTCCACGAGGTGATACATAAAACCGTGTGGGCTCGAGACAAATGAGATCACTGTACTCCATGAAGGCGACTTCAGTGAATAGTTGTAGCCCATTAAAAAGTAAACTTCATTTGCATAGGGGACTGTTTCTGCCTTCTAGGGACACTTGCCAGAGGAATTGGGGAACATGTGCCGTGTCTGCAATTGACTTTCTTTTTAAAATTCAGCAAAAAGAAGTTGGTGAAACAATTTCAACATTTATTTGTTAAATCCCCATGAGTATATGTCTTTATCAATAAGTGTGTGAATAGTCTCATAGTAAATAGTTAGAAAAGCTCATAGTCAAATCAAACAGTAAGTAATGATGAGAGGAAGGGGTTGAGGTGGTGAATACAAAGGAATAATCACTGCTATGCCTCCCTTCTCTTCTCACTGAAGTCAAAACATAGGAGTTTACCAAATGAGCTGTGCTAAACGCTTTCATCCATTATCTCCTCTAACCCACAGAGATGTGGAGAGGCAAACAACAGCAGCCTCCAAGGATGCCGAGTATTTCAGCAAAGTGATCAGAGAAAGAAAAGCACTGGTCCATTGCCCGGTCCCTGTATCTGATGTACACGAGAGGTCTGGGGAATAATCAGAAAGACTGTGGAGATTTGCAACTGGCATATTTAGAAAGAAGATACAAGTTGGAGTAGGAAGGACATGTTTTAGTCTGGACTTTCTACCTCACTAGTAAAGGATCCTTGCCACCTATCTCACTGAACTCCAGAGCGGATGAAGGGATAGATTGCTTACAGCATCTGAAATTGTGTTGGCAAAGGAAAAACACAGTTTACAATGCATTTTCCTTAATCTTTCCAAAACGAATGCACTAATTTTTAATAATTACTTCTTTGGAATATAGGGTACTGACCTAGGTTCAACCATTTCATTTCAAAGTAGAATTCAATTTCAAAAGACTTTTCCTTTTTGCAAAAATGCGTCACCTAAGAAGATTTGATCAATGGTGTGCTCTGCTCAAATTCTGCCAGAAGGGTTATCACAGCAAGCTAATGGGCCCAAACAAATCATTTTTAGAACAGTGAAATTAGTTTCTTTCATCCTCAAGCCTGTTATCTAATTTTCAAATGTAAGTGACTATTTTTAAATGAAGGAAAGGAATTCTAAACAGCGCTACTAATCCAGCGAGGCATCTCCAAGAGGATGAAAGGAGAGAGCTGTGAGCTTGTGGGGTACCCTTTCCAAGCTTGCTTTTATGGGCCCCTTCTGCTCTCATTAAAACAAGTCCCGGGATCAAATGAACCAGGACTCGCACTGAAGGCAAGGATACGAGTTGCTCGCTTCATCTCTGCCAGCCTCCGGCTCACCACCAGGCTGGACACAGACTCACAGGACACAAGAACAATCTACTCTCCCCTCCTAGTCTCCATCAGGGGCCACCAGGAGCAGCAAACGACCAAGCCACATACCCAGCTGCCGCCAGTTGGATACGTGCTAGGAAATGAATGGGGACGTTTACAGGAAAGGGAGGAAGAAGGGCAGTAACAATGACAATATTCACATCCCTGTGGCTTTATGCTCTTACCTACCGGTGAGCAGGGCCCCACCTCCCTGGTCCCCTACCACAGACTAGCAATCCAAGATGAAGAAAGGTAAGAAGGGGATCTGTTCCAAGTCACAGAGCTTGTTCAGAACAAGGGTTTGGGAGAGCAGCAGCCTGACTTTACTGTCTATCAACTGTGACCTTACATAAACTACGTAAACTTCTCTTTGACCCATTTCTTCATTTCTAAATGGAGCTCGGGGTAATATCCTTCTCAGGGTCCTTGTGGGGATCAAATGAGAGAATGCATGTCAAGAACTAAGAATTCTCTTGATGTGTAGTACTCGGTAATGTGATTACTTCACTGGTAAGAAGTTTTACGGTCCACACAAGTGTAACCCATTCCATCAGGTGCAATACAAAATAGAGTAAATTTTAAAATTTCTCAAATCATTTCAGTAAAAGATGCACGGCCATTAGTCCCCCTCAATATGCTCCCCCTTACTTCCAACACACTCGTCCCACCATTCCGCCGCTTTCGGAAGCGTTCTGGGAGTGCTCTGCCGTGAGTGTCTTTACAAGACGTGGTCAAAAGCACGGCTGTGGCTGCTGCTGAGCGCCGTCCACCAAAAGAGGCAGGCTCACAGCAGAGTCTCCTTATCTACCCTACTCACCAAATCCAGGACTCTGCTGTCTCTGGCGCACTCCCAAAGTCAAAGTGACCATGAAAACGTAAACATTTTGAATCAACACAGGACACTAAGTCTGCGGTGAGAGCACAGCTAAAGACACTCACAAAAGACTGCTTCGGACAGAGGCGAGAAGGATGCGAGACCTGCGTCCAAAGCAAGGAGGAGCATTTAAGGGTGATGATTCTCAATATCTCTTTTGCTGTAATAAATTTTAAAATTTTAACATTCACCATATTTTCCAGTGATACCTCATACTTTTTATCAAGTAGCAGAAAGTGATGTGCTAAATTCCAGGTGTGCTAGAATAAATCATTTATGCCAGGTGTGCTAGCGCATGCCTGTAATCCCAGCACTCAGGAGGCTGAGGCAGGAGGATCAATGTGAGTTTGAGACCAGCCTGGGCTACATAGTGAGTTGCAGGTCAGTCTCAACTTAAAAAAAAAAAAAAAAAAAAAAAAGAATAGAATAAGTCACTTATGACTCCAGCCATTTCTCAGGTCACAGAAAGATGTCAGCAATAAGCAGATATCAATGGAGTATGTTGTATTTTAAGCCAAAAAAAGAAAAAATTAGAGGGGTAAAGTAGCCCAGCCTGGGAATAGTTGGGAGGGCTTCCTATCACAAAATAGTTTCAGTTTTACCCTTGTTAAAATCCTTCTGGGAATAGGTGTTAATTTGTCCATTCTACAAATGGGTGAAGTTAACGGATATTCCAAAGTCCTTCAGCTGTTGAATGGCAAAGCCAAGTCTCAATCATTCAAACCCACATCAAGATATTTCCTGTGAATCAAGTTACTGAGTGAAGCTGGGTTTCCCCCTCCTTTCTTTCTTGTTCCAAAAGGGGGAAAAACTGATTTTTTTTTCTGCATCTCCACTTTTATCCCTGCAAAATTTAGCAAAGTGCCACATTCCCTAAAATCTACAGCCATCTGCTTAGTCACAGAAGCCTAGGCTGAAAGGGACAACTGTTTACTGGTAAGGACCTTGTTAGAAGGGGTCAGAAACAATATTGTCAAATTTTCATTCGACCATTAAGATGGTCTATGACAATTAAGCAAGAAACTTGATCTCATAGGCTCTTATTCTTTTTCTATTTATAAAATGGAATGATAGTTTTTACCTCCAAGATATGCTATGACAATTTCATGTCGCATCCTTAGTGTAACACAAGTTATAATCACTGTGACAGTCACTGTTAACTTTGGCTAGAAAACCACCTCGTAATTCATACCTTTCCTCCAGTGTGATCACACAAGTCATCTGCCCAGGAAGTACTTTGCATATATTTTCTCGTGAAGCACTCAATGTTTGACCAATGTCACAACCTGGAAATCTGACTCTCCTGTCATTGTTCTTGCTTTTTTTAAAGATTGTAACATTCTGCTTCCAGGGGGAAAAGTATAGAATGGCTATATAACGTTTTCTCTGGTTAAGCCAGTGAACATCTCAAATTTCTCTTCCCCGAAACTGTCCAATTCCAGTTTTTGTTTCTCCATCTTTCTTCAGGTAATAGACAGGAGTCCTTCACATCCTCGGGTTGCTACGGTGATAAATGTAGGTGTCTGGTCATAACATTGTGTGTACTGTGCTCTTTGTTTTCAAAGCACATTCACATGCTAACCTTGTTGATCCTAAAACAACTGGGTGAGGCAGGAAGAGCAGATACCATTCTCATCCTAAAGATGAGGAAACCGTAGCAGAAAGGAAGGAATAACAAAGACCACATTGCTAAGCATGACTATATCCCAGGTCTTCTGTATCACCTGGAACTTCTCAGGAACACCCTCTGGAAGGTGTTACTAATTCAATTTTCAGGTGAACAAAATGAGACTCAAAGAAGCAGACCACTTACTCACGTTCCTCCAGATAATGAATGAGGAGCTCAGACTCAAATATAGCCCTGTCTTACTCCAAAGTCAGTAAGTTCAAAAACTGAGTCGTCCAAGATTTGCTGAAGCCACTAGTGACCAATGCGACAATAAAATCTGAGTCTTCTGATTCATGATCAGGGCTCCTTTCATTACACCATTCACCCAGCTCTTCTTGACCATTCAAGGTGCTGGATCTGCAATCACCGATTACTAAGAGTTGCTACTCACACAGAACTGCTGTGCATTCCTCATCTCCCACTCCTAGCTTCCTAATCTGGAAGGTTCTAGAGGGTTCTGCAACATTTTAGAGGTGGATGTGGAGAAAACTAGAAGAGAAAATATACTGGAAGCTTCTTCCTTTCCCTTGGGTATCCACTCCATGTGGACCAGGTACAATTTGAGGTGGGAGGTGGGAGGTGGGAGGCAAAATCTTGAATTGTGTGGGGACTTTAACCATGTTCACCCTCTTCTGGGAAGAATGAGCTTAGGTTTCTATTTCAGCTGCTTCCCTCTCACTTTCTTTTTTAAAAGGAGATGGTGGTAGAAAAGGAGATCCAGGAGAAGAAGGAAAAGATGGCAAAGTGGGACGCAGGGGGCCAAAAGGTAGGTAAACTGATAAATCCCATGGAAATGTTCTTGCCTCTCTCCTCACCGTTGCCCTGGGAAGTAGCAATTCATAATGCTGTTTTCCCCAAGATGCATGAAATGTACTTCTGACTGAATTAACTCCCACCTGAGATCTCCTATGAGGTTGCCTAGCAACAAGGTTTAGACGTATTTCTCAAACTACATTCTTAGGCCTGGCCAGAGGGGGCGCTCTCATGGCCCCAGAGTTCAAATGTAGGAATATCTAAGAAACGATTAGTTTTTCAAAAATAGCTATTCTCCCACTTAGAGCTGTACATAAATAGCTTTCTTTGGCCTAGGGCTTAAGAAGAAAGATTAAAAGGAACAGAAATAGCTTCCTGAGCCGTTGATAAAGTTACCTCCCTGCAGGATATCTTTGCTGCTTTACCTCCTCTCATAAAAACGAGTGACATTGTGGGACAAATGGAGAAATATAGGGGGAGTAGGAGCAGAGGAGATGAGAACAGGACGTTGGCTAGTGGGCAAGTTTTCACTACTAAAGCCGAGAGTAAACTTCGTTAAAACATAGCTTCTGGTGTAAGCTGTGTCTCCTGAACACTTGAATTGCTCCTGCCAATTGCTCCAAGATGGCTGCCCCAGACCACTTATTTTAAAATCTTGAGTAATTTTGAAGGAACAAAGGACTCAAAGGCTCTTGAGGTCTCAATTTGAGGAATGCTGGTTTACACTCATCTTCTAGAAAGATGTATGTTACTTGCAAAGTTATGCTCACAAAAATAAAACTTTATAACTGGCAAACATTTTTCTATTGTATTTTTAAAATGCAAAATAAATACTAATTTTACAAGAAGTCATTTGTCCCTGATCATAGGTTTTAGGATGAAAAGCTCAAGACGAATTCCGATGTCTCTATGATCACTAGGTCTTAGGATTACACATTCCTTCCCTCTTTTGAAGTGGCTAAGGTTATCAAATTTTGTGTTAAAAGACAGAGAAAACAGAATCCCAAAGCAAAGCTAAAACGTACTTCAGAACAGAGTATAAGACTCCTTTCACTCTGTCTCTTGTTTAACTTTTAAATTAAACATACTCTGCTGGGGTCATTCTAGAAATAACTGCACCAGTTAAGTATTTTCATATTATTGTGTCCAGGGTTGTCAATAATCGCCCATGTTTTAATTTTAATATATAAATTGTAACTGTTAAAATGGATAATATAACATAGGAGCTATGTTAGATATCACTAGAAGAATATATATTTTCTAATTTCTTTAAGCAAATATATTTGCTGCATTTTGAAAGGGGAAAAAATGTTTATGGTATAAAAGTATCATGTTTTGCTTTTCAGGAATTAAAGGAGAATTTGGTGACATAGGAGCCCAGGGCATGATTGGCAAGTCTGGGCCCATTGGCAAGAAAGGTAAGCTGTGTTTTACTATTGTACTGTTTATTGCAAATCAAAGCAAACTGAGAATGCCCTTGATATATTTTTTAAATTTTGTATTATGAAAATGATCCATTTCTGTCTTCTAAAAGATAAGACCTCTGTGTCTTCACAGAAGAGCTCTTACAAAAGCAGTATATCCCACAGCTCCAAAAGAGAAAGGCCTTGAGCAAAATTAAACAAGATTTCCGGATCAGAATCAAGAATAAGGTGCTAGTAATCTCTATACTGAACTCTGTCCCGGGGTCTATTGACAGATACTAATCCTTAATATATTAAAAAATCATGATTATTCATAAAACACAAAGTAGGCAGATGAGTAGAATTTCCTTTCATAGTCTGAATGGAGTCATGAATAGTTCTCTCTTGGTGATCTAAGAACTTGAAGTGTGTGTATGCATATCTATTTGTTTTCAGGCATGTTCTGATCTTGTTCATAATTACAGCCTCAATATTAGAAAACAAAGATATGTAATCTCCCCTTTATTAACTAAGCTTTCCTGCATTCTCTTCTCAAAAAGCTCCATGATGATAGCAGCTTCTAATTGCTTGATACTCAATAACTCATATATACAGGCATTGTTTCATGTGGTCTGGAGACATAAAACCAGATGAGAATGAAACTTTTACTGCAAATAGAATTTTCCCAGAAAGGAAGAATACTCACACGACTTCTGTAGGGGCCAAAAGAGATAGTAAGACATGGTTGACATGAGCCAGAATGGACCTAGGTCTTGAAGAATGGTAACGGGCTTGTGGAAATGGGAAAGGGGCATTTGAAAGAGGTGCAGGAGTGACTTGTACCAAGGTATTGTGTCAGTAGAGCTTAACTGCATCACCTTGATTGGCTTGGGAGCCACCTTCAGGATGCGTAAAGCACACTTCGGGTGTGTCCGGGAGTCACAGAGGCGAGACCTTGGGCACTAAACATGGTCCTTCTCATCTTCCTCGTCGACGCTATTTCTCTGCTCTGCCTCCCAGCCACTATGGCCTAAGCAGCTGTGCTCCAGCCCACCCTTCTGCCACACAACCTGCTGACCATGGACTGAACCCTCTGAGCTCCATTAAACCTCTCCTCTAATGTGTGAGTGTGAGGCGTTGTGGACAGCTCACTACCACCAGCCAGGGCTGGGCAAAGCTCCATGTCATGTGTACTGTGATTTCTGCAACCTTTTGATAAACTTTTGGGCCTTACAAAATCCTACAAGCTCTCACAGGGGCCACAGCGTGTTCTTGTGGGCAGACTGATAGGCTGGATTTGGAGCCGAGACTGTGACTTCCCTTCTCGTCCTGTAGCTCCATAGTCCCTCTCTCCCCACTTCTGTCTGATCCAGTGGCTTCTGCTGCACATGCACTTGAAACTGAAAAGCCCCGCAGCGGCAGAAGAGTGAGCTGAGCTCCTCCTGGTTCCTGAGCACTGCTACAGCTTTCTGCGGTGTTTTCCAATCAGGCTCTTGAGGCGGGGGCTTCCTTGCGTGATTCTTTCCCGAGATCCAGAGAGAGCCCTTAGCAAAAGGCTCTTTGTGGCCTAACAACACGGTAAATTTTGCAAAGTAAAGCATTTAGCTCCCACTGGTTAAAATAGTGCATTGCCACATTTTTAAAAAATGATCGTCCCTCCAACAAGCCCTTTTAGACGCATTTTTCCTAATTGTTCCCTAGTAAAATTTAAAATCCATCCCTGGATGAACTGTTGATTTATACATTACGGATTTATTTATGATTGACATATTTTTAAAGTGTGATTTTTCCATCACCCCACACCCCAAAAATCTGTGTTTGCACCCTTGAGGTGACATCGCCCACGGAGAAAGCACAGGCTAAGACTGCGTCCCCTTCTGCTCCAGCTTCCTTCCACCAACCTCCTCGTATCCGGTGGTTCTGGAGTGGGTACAAGTACGTGGGAAGCTGGCTAAGATGAGCTCGAGTAAGGAAAGTACTTATCTTGGACTTAGTGAGATCTATTTATGTAGTTTGAAGTTGCAGACGAGCCCAGTGTAGGATCCACCTCCAACCACGCTCATACCTCTTACTTTGCAAATCAAGTCCTGCTATAAAAGTGCTGGACTGAGGTCGGATCCTCATGTCATTGTGTCCTGGGTCACCCAGCACAGAAAGGTGTGGGCTGTGGAAAAGAAACAGTGTTTGAAAAATACAGCTAGGCTCTGGGAAGTTTTTGTTTTCCAAATTTAATAATTTATGTATAAATAAAAAGGCCTTTCCAGGTATTCTCAAATATGATAACATTTTAAGTTTCTTACCTTAATAGCAAAGGCTGTTCTGATATTTAGTGATAAAAAACAATATACAGATTTCTGTGCAACTTATGAGGAACTGCCTTTGCATTAGGTGAATCATTCTGTTACGTGTGATTCCCAGGGTCAAAAAAATTAGACACATATTTGAAAGCATGAGAAAGCTACCAGATATGAATAGAGCTTAGGAACCATGATGGAGCAGAAGGGAACCAGCATGCAGTAAGCTACTCATTGTGCAGTCCCTTGAGAGTCTTCCTCAGACTTTCACCAATTCATAAGTCAAGTCAGCAGGCTGAGTCTGAGGGATCTAGTATAAAGTTGCTCCAACTGAATCGATATCTGAGGCCTGACACTGAAGAATCCCCCAGGAAAATGTCCCATATTTTCAGTGAGAACTCCAGAAATTTTGAAAAATTAAAGATTTTTATTTGTTTTTTTTTTGAGACAGGGTCTTGCTATGTAACCCAGGGTGGCTTGAACTCATAGTGACCCTTCTACCTCAGCCACCTGAGGGCTGGGGGTTATAGGGGTACATCACTGCACCTGGCTTCTATCACCAGTTCTAATTAACATTTTACTTGAGGTTCTTGTCTGAACAAAAACACAGGAAACATAAATAATCTTCACAAATACTGAAAGTAAAAGAATGAATGAGTCATTATTAACAGACCTAGAAAATACAAAGTAATTTATAAACTATTTGTATTAATAAATTGTTGAATATCTCAACATACAAAATCAGCTTTGCTGCTGCATAAAGATAATTCAAAAAATGAAATTAAAGCAACATCATTTATCATAGTATCAAAATATCTAGAGTAACAGAGGTAAAAACACTTCCCAAATTGACCTATAGATTCGGTACCATTTATGTCAAAATTCCAAAGTATTCTTTTGGAAACTGATGCACCAACCCAGAAATGATGTGTACATTAAAGGGACCAAGAATACACAATATAATTGCTAAAAATAAAAGTAAATCTGGAAGACATAAATCACTGAATTTAAATATTTATTATAAAACCAGGTGGTGTTGAGATAGACAAATAAATCAATGGAAAAAACAGAGTGTAGAAACAGACGACTGTACTAAACTTGCTGCTGCTGTATTTTGCAAGAGGAAATCATGAATGTTTCCATAAGTTGTGCTGGGTTCATTGGGTATTATCTGCAACAGTAATAATTTTGGTGTCATACTTAGGACTATCTAAAATCAGTGGTTTGTAAGTCTAAATTTTGTGCTAAAATCAAAGCTGATAGACCTAAATCTGGAAGGCAAAGAATGCTTACAGAAGTCAACATAGAGTTCAGTGCTTTTTTTGTTGATCAAAAAGTAGGCCCCATTTTTTAAGCCCAATGAGCAAAGGACTCACAGTGAAGAAGTCTAACGAAGGGCTTTCCATTCACCAAGAGAGGTTTGTTAGAGAACAATCAAGGACACCCTGGAGCTCGTTATGCGGTGTGTGTATATCCAATATAGAGCCTACATCCAAAACGTACAGGAGAAATCAAAGTAAATAGATAACCCTCAAAATGTCACTTTTCGTTGTTTTATTTTAGTAAGTTTTGATTAACCATGCTAGAGAAAAGACTTTTCTGTCTATTATTACTCCTCCATCCTTTCTTTAAAATGTTATTACAGGGTTGTAGGCAAATATGCAATGAATGTGGCCAAAAAAAAGGGCCAGTAATTATTTTTAGAAAGCATTACAGAGGCGCAACAATTCATTCGTTGAAATATTACCATTCTTAGTGAATTCTGTGAGGTGACATTTGTCTACTTTAACATGTTTAGGGCTGGGAACTTAGCTCCGTGGTTCCACCTGCCTCACAAGTGCAAGGATCCGCATTTGATCCCCAGTACCAAAAATAAAAAAGCTTATACTGACTTTCTTATGATTCATCACTCTGACAGCCCCTTCTCCATCTGTTAATCTTGTATTATTTCTCTTAAAGAGGGTTCTTCAGATTGTCTCAGCTTCAGATAAAATGCAATATGAACCTGCCACTGGCAATGTCAGTGTCACCACTGGTTAAAGGGGATGAAAAGGTGTAGTGAGAAAGTGGGGTTCTGGACCCTAAGATTTCTGGAATCACCCTGTCCAATGATCGGTGTCCTGCCATAGATGAAATGGACGTGGGGGGAACAAGCCCAGATTTGAAGAACTTCATTTTTCAGTGAGTCGACCTAGATGTGGGTCTTTCCCAAATTCAGATGTGTCAAAAACCCTGAAGGGGTTGGGAGTTAATGATCTTGAGCCAAGTTTTAATTCTCTCTTAGAATAGGACTACTCAGGGGAGTAATAGCTGACGGAGACAGGGCAAGGGGAATGAAGTCTTTAGTGTGACTGGCAGAGCTTCAAAGTAGACGACTGTCCCGAAATGTTGAAAAAGCGACAGTCTAGAAATGATGCAGTTAACAGAACTTACCTGCTCAGGCCAGTTCTTCCTTCAAAGTCTGGGTACAGAGTCCAAGTGCTTAGTGCATACCTCTGTCCCTGAACCATTGTCACAGCCAATCAGCACGTTTGTTTCCCTCTCTAATCAGACTAAAATATGAGTAAAGAATGAAAACGGGCTGGGTGCTTGCTTAGGAAACTATAAGCTCCCCGTAGGAACTCAACTTTTATCCTGATATCTAGTACATAGTAGAAACCCTAAACGTTGAGTGCATTAAGGGTGAAACAAAAAGAGGAATGATGAAACACATTTTCCACA